AGAGGGCTGTGGCAACAAGCGGCACAGGAATGGCAAACTACATCCAAAATTGGGCCAAATCACCACAAAGTATAAACAGGGTAAATTTCAACGTCTGTTTGCATCTGCCTTTACGGTACTAAGGACAAGTCAAAAAGTGAGAGGATTAGCTAGGTGCCAGAAATACCTATGTCTTGCTTAAAAAATAGAAAGATGCAAATCTGGGAATGAAAAATACCTAATATTCATACCTAAGTTAAAAGTAACTATCTTTTGGACTGGTAATGTATTTAGGACACCACCAAGCAACTACTTCAGACATGGAGCTTAGGTGCAAAGTACCCTGTGCAGAAGAGAGGTAGATGCCTCCAGAGAGCCTCTCCGGACCGAATCAGATGCACAGGCGGGCAGATACTCCGGTCAGTAACAAGCTGAAAGGTGACAAAGGTGGTACGGTCAAGAATCTTATCAGAATTACTGCCCGATGGTGAGCCACGGATAAATTTCATGCTTGGAACGGATCTGCCTACAGTCACCTGTTTTATCCGAAAGAAAGGGGTTTTTAAGGTTTTCAGCACTGCTATTTGGCCAGTCAATTCACCACACTACAGCATCGAAACTGCGATAGCACAAGTACATAGCAACAGTCCTTCAACAGTTCGCTGGTTGGTAAAAAATAAATAAGGAAAATTGTCCTGAGTATCTCATTCAGAACTTGGTCTGATCCAGGATTAAATTAGTACAACGCACACAATTAAACCCATTGCGTGCTGGTTAAATACATGTTAAGTTTGAAATGAAGCAACAAAAGACGAATTAAAAAATAAAAAAGCATGTCTATTCCATTACTAATCACAAAAGTTTCTGACGTGCTTTCTGTTAGTAATTCTTACAGAACATGTAAATGAAGATATGGTACATCAATGGCCCTTGAGGCACAACTAAAGAGAAATGTGACCAATAAAAATTGTAAATGAGACATGGAAGTCAAACTTCTATTAATATGTGCAAGGACGCATTTAAAAGTTAAGGGTAAGGAAATGTATTAGTATAAATCTGCATCTGCAAGTAAGCACACTCTAGAAAATGACGATTTCTGATTGCAGATGTGGTACTTTGGAAATAAAAAGTCTGAAATGTTTTTCATATAGAAACTGTTATAACCTGCACCATTACTAGCAATAGTATATTTAGAAAAAGTGCCAGTCCCTGAGCCAGCAGGTAAGAACATAGAAGATATTCCTATCTCTCTCTATATATATTTAAAAATAAAGTCTAAAAAATCAGCGATGCTTTTAGCCATAAAATCTTCAGAGTAACAAAACTGCAGCAATCAATCTTGGGAAGAGACGAGGGAAAAGGAAGTTACAGAGCGACAAACCTCCTCCGATGCGCTACTCGAACTGCTGGCAGGCGCTCGGTACCGGTTCAACAGGCAGAGTGCACCCTGGAGCCTCTCATTTTCCAGCTGGGTCTAGGAAAGGTAGCGCTTCTAACAGGTTTTCCACAAATACATATAACACACAGAATACAGCGTACAGCAGTCAACAGTAAGACACTACGAGCAACCAGGTTATTTGTGTGTCTGTACACAAAGGAGAGGATGTTTTAAGTGTGGTCCAGAGACAAAGAGGCCAAAACCGTGAGCAAAATTGGACGAAGACAGCCTACTGTTTCTGTTCCATCTTGGCTTTAGCTAGAGGAGAAGAAAAGGAAGAAGCCAAGGCACAGCTGTCTTTGCATACTGCAAAGACCAGTGGCTGCTGTGCCATGGAGCACACCGGTCTGGTGCCAAGCGAGTGACATGAAGCACAGTGTGACCACGCCAGAACCAAAGGCCTGCCGTTTCTTGTCACACTGAAAAGGACCAATTGCCACAAAACCAAAAGGCATGGAAAACAGGAAGTCCTGTGAAGTGCTACTGTATTTTATGAGCTTATGTCACTTCTCTAAAAACAATTTGTTTCTACAGATATTGAAATGCCAATATTCCAGAAAAACGATGTCCTTGGGTCAAAATCAACCTTTCCCTAGATGCCAAACAGTTTAAATATTAACACATTGGAAAATTTTAGGTGCTGGTTGTTGGCAACATGAGAAAGCTGCTCTGTATGTCCAGTTTCTCCAGATTATGTTTTTCCCCCACTGTGTCCAGGTGTCACTGGCTCCAGTGCAAATGGCATTTACGGAAGAACGAATGCTTCGGGTCTCTGAAATACAAAACAAAGATATTGAGATGTTAATGATACAGAAATTACAGTAAATGACAAATTTGCCTTAAAGGGGGAATTCAGTTTGCTTTGGAAAAGTGTGCCTAATGGTAAAGGTGAAGCCAGAAAACGGTGGCCACTCAGTCCTCTCAGGGCTTGAGAAGATTGTGGCAGTGGACTTGTTTTTCAAGTTAAATTCAGATGACCAGATGTTTTTAGAAAGGGCAGTCTGTACAAATGAGCAAACAACAGATGTAATGTTCCAAAGCAATGAAGAACTTCCACATTTAACAAGTCTGGAGCAAAAAGACACAGGTCTAAAACACCACATTTGGCCATTTTATTAGGAAACTGCATGTGTGAGAAGCATGAAAGCAGGATCACACACAGCTGCTGGTTTTGTACAGATGTAAACTTGCTTTAAACATCTTTTGGTCTTGCCTCTACCTGAGGTTACATAAAACAGCTACTGTTTCTCCTTTACTGAGGCACTGCAAGTTTATTAAACCCATTTTGGCAGTAATTAAACCACAAACCCCTTCGGGTTGACAGTTCCTGGAGAGCAGAAGGACAGCAGAGGAGAAGCTCCAACACAAGTGCTGCGAGGAGCCCTTTCCTGCAGACGGTGCCAGCTCAGCCGTAAGACACTGCACAAAACCACTGATGCTTCCACAAGACTTCGCCACATGCATGTGGGAAAAAAGGAGAAAGGAGACAAAGTCCATGGACAGGTAGGAGAAACTGGCAGGAGGATGCACTTTATGCGTCTAAAGAGCTAATGCCCAGTAATGTTCAGAAGCCAGGCTGGCAGGCTCGTGCTGCCCAGAGCCGAACTGGATCGTAACACACACACAGGATGTCCTGCAAACTCTGTAACAGCTGCAGGGCTCTTTAAAGCACCTCCGTACCGAGCTCTGCTGTAGAGAAATACAGCAGCCGTGTTCGGGCAACACCGCAGAAGCAGCGTCTCCTACAAGCCAGGGAGAACTCAAACAGGGAGCAGAGTTGGCAGTGGTACTGGGGAGAACCAGTAAGGCAGCTTGTTAGAGAACATGGTACTGGCAGAGGAACCACCAACGAAATGTGGGTGAGCTCACCCAGCCAGTAGCCTGGTAAGGCAAGGTGTGTGACACCTACCTGCGGGATACTAGCTGGCTTCTCAATATACCATCCTATCGAGGCACTAACTGGCTTGGGGTTGGACTGTCAGCTCCTCTTCCTCTCTACTCAGCACGCACCGGTGTGATATCCAAACAGAGGCACGGCCGGGACGCTGGGACGCCACCTTGTCCGTTATTTGAACTTCTTGATGCCTATTTCAGGTTCTTGTCTCTGCCTCTGTTCCTGGCTATTGTACATGGTTTTCCCTGTGAAGACAGCTAAAATTCCAATAACCCTTCCTTCAGTTCTCCTAGCTTTGCAATTTGGTGGTTGGTGTTTCAGTGTTGTTTTATTAGGTACTGCTGAGATGGACGTTCTACCTATAATTCTGGTAACAGCTCGGATAACCTATGCGCTCTTTGCTGCTAAAATTAAATATTTTCTAGTTTATTTGTAGAGACTATGGCCAGAAAATATAATAAAACTATTGACAGAATTTCACAGGTTTTGATATGAGCAGACGATTCCACCTGTACCCTGAAATAAATGAATTTCATTCTTCATCTTCCTAGCAGTTTGTGGCACTGATTTCTCCCCATGCTGTTTAGAGTCCTGGTAGATTTTTGTCTGCTTTCCGTTCTTGTCACAGATTTCTGTTGCACCATTCATCTTCAGATTAGGGGCTTAAATGCCTTGTATATTCTTTTTCATGGAGAAAGGGCTTCATCTAGAAGTTAAACCGATAACGTTACCGATACGGGCTGCCTGCATAGTAGCCAGCGTACCATGGCTTGCCGGGAAAGTCAAGTAATTCCTTCTTCTGCAGGTCTTCTGAACATGAGTTAAGATACGGAAGATGAAGAGCCAGAGCAATGTCGGCACACACAGACTCAGCAGTGTTATTTTAAAGGCAGATGTAGGACTGTAGTGCTTCTTGGGCTACAAGCCTACTATTTAGGTTTATCTCCTCCCAAACCGTTCATCGCAGCTACGATGCTAGCAAGATACCAATTTTGATTCTCACAATTCCTATATTTATCCTTCTGTATAAGCAAATAACACCACTTTAAAATGCAGGTAGAGAAAACTGTATTGTTCTAAACGACCAAGCGTCTCGAGTAAAGGGATCGCGCGCATCTTCGGGGTCCGAGTCCCCACAAAGCAAAAGCCCTGCAGCCTGGGAGGACAGAAGAGCCACGCTATCTGCACAGGAACTCGAGGGCTCCAGCGATGTGTAGTATCACACGTTGGACTCCATAGCCTGAGTTACTTGGATAAAGATTAAGTCTTTGGTGTTCCTAACAGACTGGATGCAGTATATTGCAAACCTTTCTTTAAAAAAGAAGAGGCATTTGGAGGAAGCAAAACAACATTTTTTCCCTTCTTGGCTAAGTCAGCAAGAAGGAAAAGGAGCGGCTCAGCCAGAAGGACAATCTTCACACTTTCTATGCGTGACACATGCAAGGGGCCCCCGACAAAGTAAGATGTTGCCATCAACTTTTGAACTTTGCATTTACAAAAACACTGTAATAACTTCGCAGCTTCTGGTAGCTTCTGCTTTTGCGGTAGTCTGAAGTAAACTCATTTATCTGCGCAGGGCAGACATAGATAAGCTCGTGGCTATTTTTTAAGCAATGCTCTAGCGCGCATTACATTCGTGTATGCTGTGCCCTGCTACCTTCTGGTGCAGACACCACACTCACCTTGGACTTACTGTTTGGATGCTGACTCAGCAACTGGCTTCTGCACTCCAAAGGCAGTAATAAAAATATTCACAACTACTATAATGAATACTAGTCCAGTTGCAAGGTTGTTGAGGAAATCCAGCTTTCCATGTTTTGCAGGGTTGTTAAGGTCATATTTTACTTCAAAGAGAAAGAAAAAAAGAAAAAAGTTTTAATTATACGTATATTTCAAAATCCAGAATAAAAGTCTTCAATACTCGTGTAGTTCAAGAATTTCTCTTACACCAAGCTACTTGCATCAGTCACGCTTCAAAGGGAAATCAGATTCTGCAGCGTCAGTAAAAGCGCTAAGGGGAAGACTGGTAACCACAAGGAGTCTATTAGCTTCCAGTAATTAGCATCTAATCTCTTTGGATGCACATGGGAAGTCACGGGTACACAAACGTTACTAGAAATCTTCTGAGTTCTTGATCTATTGAAGTCTAGTTTTGTTGCAGATTTTCAGCATTTAAAAATTATTTCTGCCCGGACTACATGAAGCTCAAAGCCCTGACAGGATGGAATGAAGTTAAAACTTCCTACAGTACAAACACTACAGGATCTTCGCAGACAGCCCAGTCTCTTCACCAGTGCTGGATTTTTCTTTTTTGCACTGGTGCCCTTCCCCAGCTGTACTCCCTGCTTTTGCACTGATTTTGTTTTCAGGAAGCAAGGGCATGGTATCTGTTAAACTGAGGAAGATTACAAAGCAGCGGAGCTGCGGTCCTTTTTACAGAGCGTCAGCTGTGTAAACATTTTCTTTTGTTTCTTGCAGTTGTTCTTTGGCTGAACTGCTAATGGGAGGGAGGGAGGGACACACAAGAGAGATAGTATTAATTCAGTTTTAAGCTTTGATTCCAGGCCTTGTGAAAACACAGAAATGAGTTGCATTGGGCTGATAATAGGCTTGATGAACGAGTCAAGCACAGGACAGCAAGAAGGCTGGGGTGTTTGCCTGGCACCGTGCTGACAGCCAAGATTTCCCCCTGTCTCCATTCCCCTGCGGCAAGGGCTCTGCAATTCAGACCCTCTGCTAAATTTCTCTGGTGCTGGTGGAATGAGTGCCGATGAATTCTGGAGCATGTTTTGAGAACGTTTTTTGGTTTTTGTCTATTAAGACTACTAGTTCTTAAATGCATAGACCACTGCAGCTTGTCTGTGCATGTACAGGACATGAGAGAAAGCTTATACCTGTCAAGTTGTTACAGCAACATAGAATCATTAAGGCTGGGAAAGTCCTCTGAGATCACCAAGTCCAACCGTCAGCCCAACCCCACCATGCCTGCTAAACCATGTCCTGAAGTGCCACAGCCACACGGTTTTTGCACACCTCCAGGGATGGGGACTCCCCCACTGCCCTGGGCAGCCTGGTCCAGTGCCCGACCACTCTTGCAGTAAAGAAATTTTCCCTAATATCCAATCTAAACCTCCCCCCAGAGCAACTTCAGGCCATTGCCTCTCATCCTATCACTAGTTACTTGGGAGAAGAGACCAACCCCCACCTCACTACATCCTCCTGTCAGGTAGCTGTAGAGAGCGATAAGGTCTCCCCTCAGTCTCCTCTTCTCCAGACTGAACAGCCCCAGCTCCCCCAGTTGCTTCCCGTAAGACTAATACAGAATCACAGAAATAAATCAAACTTTGAGCTCCTTCTGACAGGCACATACATTGATGTGTAGCTTACCACTCCACCACATGAGATAAACTTTGCTATTTGCTTTTAAGCTAAGGACCCTGTCAACACTGCAGACCTTCACCACAGAATCGAGACTTGCTTGCCTGTTGGAAGCAGTTAAGTCAAAGTGGTGGCAAACACACTTGTGAAGTATTAAAAGCCAGGTTTCACTTGGTGCCCCTAATTAGGAAGGCTAATGCTGTTTTGGTTTCAAGGGATTGTGGGTTCCTGTTTGCTAAAGCAGTACAGTCCAACATTGCAGGCCAGTCCAAGCACCGCAGAACAGCGTGGGGGAACTATCGGACGAGCTTAAGCTACTGCACACGTCCGTAGGCATGAAATAATTTAAGCTCAGCAGTACTTAGCCCTCAAAATGAGTTTATACATGTCTGTAAAGCATCCGGATGCTTGCACCCCAACAGTACCTGGAAGGACTCTAGTACTGTCATGTGAATGAAGCGGAAGAAGTGAATGGAATCGTTAATCCTGAAGTGTGGAAGAAAAAGAAAAGGCAATAACGGTCTAATGCATTTTGTGAGTTAAAGGAAATCCCGCTCAAAGGAGAACCGACACTTTCAGAGCTGTCCCCTTCTCCAAGCAAAGGTCAGAGAAGACGAGCATTGCTTGTCAGTTTAGGCGGTGCTCTGAATTTTGAAGCAGAACTGCAGTAATCCTGTCTTTGTGATTATAGTACTTAAGATGTGGGTGTTTGTGCAAACGTTCCTAAGAACAGTTATTCTTTAAGTATTTTATTACAGTGGGATTAGATTACTATGATTTCATGCCACTTAAACTATTTCAAGACATTCATTGCTTTTCTTCCAAAAAGTTCAGATTACCAAACCACTTTCAAGGACAAGTTTGCTGAACATTTTTCAGAATGTTTTTGTGAGAGGCTCTTTTGAAGGAGGAAAAGCTTTTAATCCCTAGTAGATACTGGTGAGAACTGGTAGCTCCCGGGATAAAACTCTGTCTCAAGGAAAGAAACTGGATGGTCGCACAGCCTTTTGTTGGGGCTCATTGAGAGCTTGTACCAGGCAGAATTTTGTGGCTGGACAGAAAGACAAACTGTTCCTGTGGGCCAAAAACTACCAAGATACACATTGTGAAACGCAAGTTCTTGCTGCAATACCTGTATCTTTGCACCTCCATACCCAATCTCCTACCCGCCGTACTTCCGAGGCGAGCCCGACAGCATCGCTCCAGGAGCACGCCGCTGCACGCCAAGGGCTGTCACCCTCGGTACGCCAAGCCTGCAGGCACTGCTGGCCGCAGAGTGCGGGCTGAACTCCCCACGGATGAAGCTCGCTGCTTTCTGAGCGCTCTACAATCTCTGCCTCTGCCCAACTTTGGAGCTGGGGCGACCGGGTACTTCTTTACTCTCCATGTGACAAAGATAAAAATTACACAGATGGAAGCCACTTTGGCAACATCTGGCAGAAATAAACATTGAAAAGCAATTTCTCAGCATATACTGAGAAATTATCATCCATCAAAACAGAGGGAACTTGTTTACAGCCTCAAAGCCTGCTAAACTGAAACCAGCGCCACGGAGATGCCTTCAACCCAGAAACACATATGCTTATTCTGATATTTCCATGACTCTCTTCCCAAATCCCCCATTATCATCAGTGTGCTTTTTCCAGCCCCCTTCTGTAATCTCCTCTGAGCCAGGGCCTGGGTTTTGCTCTTGTACCAACTCTACCCCATGCAGAGACAGCTGTATCCTGTCTCTCTCGTGCAAGAAGCTGTGTCAGCTGCATATCAGTAGCACAAGCCTTATGTGACCTGGCTTCCTAGGAACTTCCTCCTCAAGCAGAAAGTTGTTTTTTCAGTTGTGCTAAAATGCAGAACAGTGAAAGACTAACCGAGATGCCAGAGGTGGCACCTGTAACTTAGTGAATGCCACGTGTAAACTCTGGCTATCACCTTCCAGGGTTTTCATTTATCATAGACTTCAGATCTGTCACATAGTACCCATTAATTTAAAGGAAAAGATTTTTAAAAAGTTACCAGAATACACGATCATACACCACTAGCAAATGAAGTGATCCATAGCTGTTTCCTACCAGTGAAGGTGTAATTTATTTCAGTCAATAATGGGGTTCAACTGATGCTCAAACCTAAACAATTCCTCTGATTTCCACAGGTCTCTTTGATCGACTCTCCAAAGTTATGGTCTAGGGTTTTGGGTGCTGCTGATGAATGGCGCAGGTTTTCAGCAACTTTGCAAAGTGCCACTGGATTCTTTTTGCATTTTGCCTTGCAAAAGCATGGGGGGAAATGTCACAGCAGGTTAAGATAGCAAAAAGAAGTAGTGAAGACTTGTTTAAGGTCAAACTAGAAAACTCGGATTTGCACAAGAGTGCTGTCTCCCCACTCTCCGTGGAGCATTAGTTGGGCTTTTTTTGGCAATTCATGCTCACTTAGTGATGACATTATTTTAGAAATGAGCCGGGTTCCATAGCTACTTAGATCAATATTCTACCTTACAGATTAAGGCAGAGGGTGTAGGACATGTGTGTGCTACTAATCTAGCAATACTAACTTAAATTACCTGACTTTTAGTGGTAAGTACTGGTTCTCGTGCCTCACAGCACTGTACCTATTAATGCTCAATAGTGGAACTCTATTTCTGAGAACAGCAAAGACGCTGCATTGAACTGCATTGAGTGTAAAGGTCTGCAATTCAACAACTAAGACCGAAAGGGGAGAGGGGAGGAAGGCAGGGAGCAGGGACCTAATCCTACAGCCGTCTCATTAAACGTGTCCAAAGCACACACTAACACAACTCCTATTTGAATTTATTATCTTGAAATGATTTCTAGCATATGTTAAATGCATTGCATCGCATTCCTTTGATAGAAAGTAGAAAAGGTTTTCCTAGAGATACACAGAATTCAAATTTCTTAGAGATAAGCAGAATTGAAGACAATCTATTTGTAGTCCCAGGATGCTACTTGGACTGTGTTTTTCACATTATACATCATTTCAGGTGTTTAGACTGAAGTCACAGTACGTGGATAACAGATGAGGTACGTTCCTAGGGTGACATCTTGCTCCAACTAGCTTATTTTCCTTTTTAGCTTTAATTTCAGTTTAACACAGGTTTGAAAATTAACAAGTACATTTCTGCCATTCCGCACCTAGAGATTTAGGAGGCTTTGAATAATTTCCTAAGTTTAAAACTAAGCCATTTTTTTCATTATTGTCAAGCCTTTGCTGTCAAACCTTCGATATGATTGCAGAAACACAACCAAATTGAAGACAATACAAACCGACATGAAGATGGACGCTTCCACTTCTGTTTCAGAGTTCCATGTTCACATTATATTCTTGTAATATTACTTATGATATGACTGAGAGGGAACAAATACATTTCAGTCATAAGATTAAGTAAGAGCCCTTGCCAGAAACAGTATTATGAAACTGTGCAGGCTGCATGATCCTATCTGGCCTATTAATGTTTCTTTCACAGTGTTTCATCATTTTCCTTCCCCCTCAGGCCTTCTGAAAAGAAAAATATTCATGCTCTGGGCAAATGAATATGAGGAAGTTGATCAAAATTGAAGATTCCACACAAAGCTGCCCTTACTCCTTTTGTTGCAATATCTCTATAGTCTTAAGAGAAAACTTTATTCAATTCCAAGGCAAAGAATTTCAAATATAACAGCTTTCTAAAAATAAAAGGGAAGTCTATATACCATTTTATACACCATCTTACAGGTTGTATACTGTAAGAAAAATACATGTCAAGGGTTCCTGCTGTTGCTACGTACCAAGGAATATCAGGAGCACTCCGACCATAACTTGCAGTGTGAGCGACAGGCTGATAAGAACGATAAGTGGGACGTAGAAGGAAAAAGAAGGTCCTTGCTCCATCACAGCTTTCAGCTGGGACGCATTGGCCATCAGCAGGGCAATGTCCAACATGCTCTCCGCAGCGCTCTTCTTATTTGCGTAGTGATTGATATTCATAGGTCCATTTCTTTGAAACCACTGTGACGTTCTGTGCTAAAATTGGGAGAGGGGAAGAAGGTTATTCACGTCTCTTTTAATTGGTGTAGCGAGCCAGAGATGACTTGGCCCATCGACTGATTCCTGTAATCATACGGATAGAGTACTGGCAGTACTGAGACTATCAGTGCATCGTTTTTACTGTTACCACTGTCCTCTATCTGCTAAGAGAGCAGATGCGTTTTTTCCAGCTTGAAGGATCAGTCTCAAGGGTCACTATGTTTCTGCTCTGAGAAAAGGAAAGATTGAAAGAGCTGAAAAGTTTGCAGTGAGAAAAGTTGGGAGGGAAAATCCACTGTAAAACAATCAAGCAAACAACAGATTGTTGTAACGAACTTCCTCCTAAAGGCATACTTAAAAATACAGGTATTTATTAAATTCATCCTGTTATCACCCATCTACATAGTTCCCTGATCACTCATGAGTCTTATTTTGAGGAACTATGTGGACGTTGGCCACTGTATAAGCTTTGCTTGACCCCTTTCCCTGCTGCTTCTTACTCCATCATGCCACTGTCCAGGTCCATCCACACAGAGAGAATTGTTCTTCTGTTTAAATATCATATGATCTCTGGTTGCCAAGCACTGCCCAATTACAAGGAAATTTTTCTTTCCATTTACACATCTGCAGTTGGTTTTTTGTTGTTGTTGTTGTTGTTGTTTTCAATTCCCCTGCAAACAAACCGGAAAATAAAAACCAACTGCAGGGCAACACCAGTGCCAGTTAACCCGGCAGGATGAATAAAATGAGTTTTTCCTGATGATAACTGATGTGACCCAATTTGGAATTCAACAGCCTGTCTCCCAGGGGTGCCTATTTCTCTACAGGTTAGATGCAGCTTAGGGTAGCTTGGTTAGGCTTAGATACCTAGCTCTGAAATGAAGGAGGAGTAGGTAACCCTCATTTCTGCCGTCTCTGAACAGGCTGGGAACTTCATTCTCACCGCTCTTACTTCTAGACTTTATTTTCAAAAAAAATATGCGAATACATTAAGAGTAAGCTTGTTCTACCTTATTCGTCTTTAAACCTGCTTCTTAGAGACCTTTTTTACTGCACACATATGTTCCTGCTTGCCAGAAAATACTGTGAGGAAAGGGTCTCTTTGAAGGTTAGTCCAAATGCAGAAAACGCCCTCTAATTACTCTCTTCAGCAGCACTAATAACTATCAAATTTCCAACCCCAAAGCCAGGTTCGCCACTGTCCAGACTTAAAAGCGTTGGGCACACAGCTAACACATTGCCAGTTTTTCCAGGGCACTCAAACCCCAAACTTGACCTGTTTTCACCCAGACACGCTGTAATCAACCACAGTCTAAATATTTTACTCAGAGAGAAACATCACAGGGCAGCAGCAGACTTTTTTTCTGCAAAGAGAAGAAAGCCACGTAATCATGGCTTCACATAAACGGCTTCTTTACTGAGACCGAGCTCCTGGGAAGAAGATGGCTCCGAGACAGATGCTGACTTCTCTCAGGAAGAACTCCACGCTGCTTTGGTTTTGCCTACATCCCACAATCTAAAAATGCAATTTGGCTGGGGAATCTGCCCTGCGTTTGCGACCTTTTCTCTCCCCAAGGAAAGCCTCCCTTCCCACCCCCTGACCCCATTAAACCACTATGCTGCTTGGACGCTTCAGACAAAATACTGTAATTCTAGCACATCACCCACCAGCAGCACTAAACCAGGCGTGGAAGTTCATTTCCTTATGGAAAGCAGCACGGAATATATGCTGGCAGTAGTCTGTAGAAAAATCCAGATTAACATTTTTCACTGTTTATTGTACAGTAAAAAGGCAAGCACACACATTTAGCTCACGGTTACCTAATGCCAGCAGTGTAAGAGGGGATGGGGAACTACCTGTGCAGTAGTAGCATTCAACTCCTGGGCATGAATTTTAAACAAACTCTTCTCAGGAGACTGTAGAAATAACACAATCTATTTTGTCACAGAAGAATTCCCCTATGTCTAGTAGCTAATTAATTCCTTCCTGCCAGAAATGCCGACTTTAAAATATCTGTTGGGTCTGTGAGGCTGCAGTGACACAGGCAAGAAGCACACGGGTAGCTGTGACTAATCCTGATGGCAGAGGCCGGTTTCTTTGCTTTCAACTTGATGGAGGAATGTGGTCATGTTTGACATGGCTTTTTTTTTAACTATACAAAAGAGTAAATAATCTGGGCTACATCTTCCTTGCAGTTACATCCATGACTACATGATGATGTAAGACAGTTTATACATAAACAACATAATAGGATCTTTTCTTTTTCACAGGGAAATGTACTGCTGCACTTTTAGGACCTTGCTGTTTGCTGATTTTCTGTATGGTAAGTTGCAGGTGGAAATAGCAGGCCGTGGCATTTGCACTGCAATGGAAGAAAAAGTTTTGAGTCACTTCTGAACTCTAATAAACAGAGAAGACTTTTCAAAGTAGGGTACTGCTAAGGCAAACTAAGGCAAAACTTCTTATTCCTGGAATGACAAATCAGCTATTTACTATGTTTAGATTCTAAAAAATGGCATTTTACTCTGTTAAGCAGCTTTCAGCTACCACTCCTGCAAGCAGACCAGTTCAGAATCGGAACTAGGCACATGGAGAACTGAGACGTTGGTTCTACAGTACAGAGCTTTTTCTCAGCCTGTGATCTTGCCTTCTGCCAGGAAAGAGGATCTGTAATCATGAAAGCCCCAGAAACGATCACTTCCCATCTCCTGATTGAGAAATGGAGCCTCCTGACTCACCCTGGAAAACCAGAAAACCAAACCAAAACAAAAAAAGCAAATTAGCTTTGCCTTCTGGAAGCAAGTTGAAGGCATTTGCCGAAAGTATTGAAACAAATGCAGTCAGTACTGTGGCAGCAGTTTTCAAGACCAAACTACGTGTTGCACAGCAATATATAGAGAGGCAATGAAAGGAGAGCTGTTGCCTTAACCTCGGGATAATGACAGTCGTGTACAAGAGAAATTACACGGGAGCTTTGTTCTGTGGCTTTACGGTTCCAGGGAGATCCCAAGCGCGCAGCAACCCGCGCAGGCGGCAGCCCCGAACGACACTTACTGTGCTGTGCTGTTATCACCCGCAGGGCTGCTGAAGGAGAGCGAGCCTTGCGGAGATGTTCTCGCACGCGTGCAAAGCAAGGCTTTCCCTGCAGGTGCCACTTGGCAAGCGAGCAGTATGTACTCCACGTGACCCGCTCTGGCCTCAACGCAATCAAAACACCTCATCAGACACTTTCAATATTCAAATTGCCTGGTACAGACAAGCTGATCCCTTCAGCTGGTGTCACCGAATGAGTTTCAGGAAAAACAGCGAGTGTGCTCACACGTGTGTGCGCAGGAGCCAGGTGTAGCTGGACCTGCTGTACTTTCCTGTCCTTGCCAGCAACAGCCGGCTCCTGGGTGCCCCGCTGCCCGCCGCGCACCCGCAATGAAAGGAGAGCTGTTGCCTTAACCTCGGGATAATGACAGTCGTGTACAAGAGAAATTACACGGGAGCTTTGTTCTGTGGCTTTACGGTTCCAGGGAGATCCCAAGCGCGCAGCAACCCGCGCAGGCGGCAGCCCCGAACGACACTTACTGTGCTGTGCTGTTATCACCCGCAGGGCTGCTGAAGGAGAGCGAGCCTTGCGGAGATGTTCTCGCACGCGTGCAAAGCAAGGCTTTCCCTGCAGGTGCCACTTGGCAAGCGAGCAGTATGTACTCCACGTGACCCGCTCTGGCCTCAACGCAATCAAAACACCTCATCAGACACTTTCAATATTCAAATTGCCTGGTACAGACAAGCTGATCCCTTCAGCTGGTGTCACCGAATGAGTTTCAGGAAAAACAGCGAGTGTGCTCACACGTGTGTGCGCAGGAGCCAGGTGTAGCTGGACCTGCTGTACTTTCCTGTCCTTGCCAGCAACAGCCGGCTCCTGGGTGCCCCGCTGCCCGCAGAGCACCAGCTGCTGCGCAGAACAACCCGCCGTGTCTGTCTACACACAGTATACAAAAAGGAGAGGAGAGAAAAGCCCCCCACGCTTGCCCCATCTGTGGCTGGAGGAATCCCCCGTGGAAGCGCTTATTTTCACTGTCCCCACGGACAGAACCGCCCTGCGTCTCCCCACGGCAGCAGGGTCTGCTTGCTTGCCCTGCTGCAGCTAGCAAGGAGATGTCACATCACAAGCTGGCACTTCTTTGCTTCTCTAAGACCAAACCTTCACACCAGGACTGAACAGTACTGGATACATAGTCTTACTGACAACTGTGTCGGTGCAGACTCTGCCACTGCTGTGCTTCCCTCAGCTTTTTCACCCTACGCCCAGAAGAACTGACACCCCTTCGGAATGCAGAAAGGATTTATTCATCACACTGATCAAAAAAAAAAAAAGAAAAGGCACTGAGGTGAATGCTGAGTTTTGTGAATCACGTCTAAGATCCAGCTGGTGATTCAACAGGAAGGAAACAGCACTGAAAATGGAAACATTTGAAAACAAATAATAAAGTACCTTTGCTAAACACAGTAACTTGTTATAGTAAGGATTTCTGCTTCTATTACAGCATTAAATCGCTGCTTGTGACAAAATTTATGCAGCTGTTTGTTCAACAGAGTATTTATCAAACACTAGTGACTGCTGAAGTGGTCAAATTAACGTGCTGGAAGTCTGACCAAAAAAAAAGTAAAGCCCAAGAGTAAATTCTTTTTGTCTTGTCCAGCTTGACTTCACTGAGTTTCCCAGAATGGTACCAGTTAGTCTGTCCAGAGCAGACAGCTGGAGGTTTTGACATGCCAATCATCTGCAATCCACAGAGAAAAAAAAACACCAGTGAAAATGCCGCTTATTTTTCATTTGTATTTAGAACTTAGCTATGTTTGTGTCTGTCACCCTGCCCTACAAATGCAGAAGGAAAGAAATCATTTGGATTTTGAGTGCAAGCTTTTTGGATTCACTTCTCTTTTGGTACGTTCCTAGGTACTCTACTCAGCTTCTTAAATGTCTTCCACCATACATACGACCCCC